ACCATATGCATTATCCAAGCAAAGACATCTCCCTCACTCATAATATGACATGTGCATTAGACAGTTTTAACCTTCTATAAAATGCAAATTCAAATTTCCAATCATTAACCTGACTGATTCTATGCATGTACTTAAGATATACACAAGGCACTCAAGATATGAAATTATGTATGAATTTGAATAATTACCCCTGCATGTCAATGACATGTCTAGGACACAAGCTTAAAGGTAATACAAAGTTTTGGGAAATTTTGAAAATTGGGTGGATAGTGATTCTTTATAATTTTGATATATTTGGATGCCCCTGTGGATGTACATGTATTACATGTATAAGCACTAGAAAATTTAGCCCCTAAACTACTTCTGCTTTCGAGAAAAATTGAATATAAAAAGTTACTGGTGCTCCCGGTAAATTTTCAATAAATTTCAAATAGCTTTTACGGCCGTACAATGGTAACTGCGACCATGAAAATCTCAGAATATGTAGTTGTGATATATAATTTCCGAACGGGAACAACTAATCGGTAGAGTTTAGTCAAGAAACATTGTTTTATAGCTTAATTTATATCTTGAACTTGAGAGGGAGCTATACAACATAAAGAGTTTATTATTTACAATTTCATAACTTAAGACTCGATTTCATCTGCGACAACGAACACTGAATATTGTAAGACCGCATATGCGTCCAATATGTTCATTTGACCCAAATTCATGACCCCATACCAAAACTTTGTATTACCTTTAAATATTCTCTGGCTACAAGTATACAGTTTTATCACCAACATTAACCCAAACAAAATCTTTGTTCATTTTAATGGAAATGCTGGTTAAATAAGATATGATAATATGAATTATGCAACTAGCTGGCATTTTCCATTCCCATCTGAATATGTGCAGGTATATACTGAGCAACAGTGTATGTTTTGGTATAGTCGTAAACATGTACGCAAGTCATAACAGCTGCTATGACCTTTACAAGACAACAATCCTGGTTGGGTACAGGTATACATTAAAAGACTTAGGAATCTATTTCAGTTCATGGTTCTTATATAACAAAGATATTAGCTACAGTGTAGGTCAGTTTGCTCAGTCAAAGGGACATACATGTACTGTATGTGTAAGAATTAATTGTAGGCCTATAATACAAAGTTACAAACATATTTTAGCCAAGGTCTAATTAGTGTTCAGCATATACATGTACAGTAACTGTCATCTAAGTGTATGTCACGGATAGGCTATGTCATGTACGTCACTGACTCACTGTGTGATGCTGGTATGAGATGAAGTAAACAGTTCCCCACTAACCTTTACAGAAGGGGCACATTTAAAGGAAACTTTAGACATTTATTTTAGCCAATGTTCTTGAAATATGCTCTAGATCGATTGTTACTCATATGAGACTTTGTTCTCACACCTTATATACCTGTATATCCACCCGGTAAAACCTGTGTGCCCCCTCCTGACGGCTTGTGTCCCCCTAAAGACTACATCTCAATGACAGCTGAGTGAATGTCGTTCAATACATAAAGGCTAAACATACAGCTGTATAGCCTATATATTGTTATTTACTCAGATTTGACAAGATCACTATATGGCCACAGCCCCAGCCATGGCAATAAGGGACAGTGGGGCACATTATATAACGAATCATACACACCACATGACCAATTTGAAATATACATGTAGGCCTACACCTACAGGTATGTTCAAAAAATTGGGTCAAGGTCAACTTCGCTGTAAATTGACTGACCCAAATTCTAATACTCTAGCTCAAGGAAACCCATTTATGTCACTTGGAGCGCCCTTATGGCTAATGAGCTGTTCCAACACAAGTAGGTATGCATTTTTGCGGGTAGGCCTATATAGATGCAATTGCATTCGCAACCAAAGAGTTGCACAGTAATAACTCTTTAAAATAATAATAATGATAATAATACATATTTTGGGGATCTAGCACAACTACATTTTGATGTAATGTCTATATATATATATATATATATATATATATATACATGTATATGCTTCCAATAAGAGGTCAGAAAACATACCCTAGATTTAGCTCCAGCAGCCATTTATATCAGCACAAAGTGCATAATTTTGAGGAATAAATCATGCCAGGTTCCTATTAACACCTGGGTGGAGAGTGTCAACTGTGGATAAAATGCCTTGTTTAAAAAGGACATTTACTACATGTAGCAGAAGTACCCACTGGGCAGATATCCATAATACAAAAAAGATCAGTGACTTTTAATATCATAACACTTGTTTGCAGCTAGAAGGATATTGCGTCTGTAAATAATGATGAGTTAATGTCCCTCTGGCTCCAAGCAGACAATAATATTCCTCTCATAAAACAGGTAAAGGTCATCAACATGCAGCCCTGTATTACACAGTATTTGGCCCCCAGGCATGTATGAATCAGATTAGCTAGCTTCTCTAGCTCTATAGCCAGATCGTGCATGAGCCTGGCAGGACTATTACTGATCTGACCAAGTGATAGCTGAGTCATCAAATCATAACAAGACACTGGTTTCCTGGACAAGGGACCATACGACGAAAGTATGGGGTGCTCGAAAATAAATATCTGACATGCAGAGAAAGAGTGACTGTCTGAGTAGCTACATGTACATGTACATGTTCATGCACTACATGGAAACATAAACATGTCAATTAAGTCCATTGTCTGGCATGCATTAATTATATTGACATGTACTTGTATCAGTATTGATTGCACAACATTCAACCAATTCATGTAGTTCAGAGTGCATGCCAACATATTTTCAGATATATATCTAAATTAACTCTATGATTTCTTTTGGTAACAGAACTTTGTCCATTATTACATCAATTGTGCATGCACAGCTATCCACAAAGTACATTGTACATGTACGATTACATGTAAGTGCACTATTTCAGTTGCCTATTGTAGGGCATGCACATTCATGTACCTTTCTACGTACCTCTTCTTTAAAAATATGAAACGATCGAACATTATGTTGTACTGATCTGCATATATTTGACGATGTACTTGTTGTACGGTAGAACTGAATAGCAAATTTACAACCACCTTCAAGAGTTAAACAATACCAATACATGTACATGTATATAGCAAGGTCCCTTCTGTAATGACTCCCTCCCCTAATTAGTGTGAAGTCCAAGTATAGCTGTCCTTCAAAAAATTCAATAACAAATTATCTTCCAAGTATGATTATACATGTAATGAATAATAAAAATCCACAGGGGGATATTTGCCCAACAGGCATCCAAATAAACAGAGCATGTAAATAGGATCTTACTTAAAAGGTCATCACCCTAGCTAGCAAGGCTGGCCAGGAAAGCCTTGAATGTGAAGGTCACATTGTGTTTTTGGCTCCCTGCCACCTGTCGCATAAGATAGGCCAAAAAGAATTTTGAAGATGACAGTTCTCATGATAACTTAAAGGGAGTGTAGGGTGGGTGCACTTTCCCCCAAAAGCTAACAAACATGTAAAATGTGATGGATTTTAGTATATTTCCTGTTGCAAAAAGCAAAGGTTTATGTACATGTACATGTAATGTATAGGCCATTAATCAGCTCTTGAGGTCATCAAAAAATAATACCGGGGTACATGAATACAAATAATTTTCCTGACCCTACATGTATGACCTTACATTTATATGTAACCTCTGAATTCATCATTGATGCTACTTTATCAAAAAGAAAGACCTGTATCAGAATCAGTCCACACAGTTCACCCAAGTCCCTGGTTCACCCATCCTGTTTGTGATCGAGAGCATAGATTTCATGTCTGAACCTGTTCCTTTTTTTCCAGTTCACATGAAGCCAACACCCTTGAGCCAAACCCTACCTTTCTGATGCAGACTGACAGTAACGTTAAAATTTGAGGAGTCTTATTCATCAAGCAGATAAAGTTAAACCTGGCTTAAACTTAGTCCAATTATAAACCGTGCTGTGTTCTTTTACATGTATAAGCACCCACTGTCAACCTTGAGCTCCACATGTACTGTACTTCAAGAACAAATTGAATTTGATTTCATTTAGTCTTCAAACAATAATGAGATTGATTCATGATGACATGATTTCATTTACAAAATGTGAAAATGATCATTTTATAATCTTGTGGTCCACAATTACATGTTTCAGTTGATCAATGGATTTTATACTAGACACTCAAGGTTGTGGTTATGAATAACATTTTGCATGCGGTTCTTGAACTGACTTAGTACACTTATCTACATGTACATGTATTTAGGGCTACTTGGTATGTTGTGGACAAAATGAAAAGGAGGTCACTGCTGTTTGACCTCTTTTAACCATGAATTTGTATATTGATCTTGGCAGTTCACCAGAAATGCTCCAAACGTTCTCTTCCTCCCTCCCTCTCTCTCTCTCTCTCTCTCTCTCTCTTCTCTTCCTGAATCCAACTCCTCACTCTGCTGTTATCTCCTCTTTGTTTTTCTATCTCTTAATTAAACTCATATTCCATTTTTTTAATTTTTTAACTGAACCCAAAATTTCGGTTGTTTTGTTTTTCTATTCTCTTATCTCTCTACAACATATTTCAGAATTAAACTGACAATAAAGCCTTATGCCTTGGCTATTTGTTATACAATGTCTTCTTCAAGTTCAACATGTTAACTCAGTGTCAAAGTCAAAGTCAAAGACCAGAGGATCTTATAAAAATGTACGCATTAATTTTTCTTTCATCTTTGCATTCGTTCACCATTGACCTCGGTATTGAATCTTAACCTAATTTCACGGTACAATCATTATCGTGTATTATGAATATAGCCATCGCCCCCCCCCCCCCCATTGTTGACTTTTCCATGAAATGGAAAGCTCAAATAACATCACTTCCTCTTATCTATGATTGTATCTAGATCTACTACAAAAAAAAACGTATTTCCCAAAATTAACAAATGTGTCTGTTGCATATAAAAAGAGGTAAGAAGAGTTCCCTTTGTACCCCCTAAAAAAATATAAATATGTACATACTTACTTTATTACCTCGAACAGTTTTCAGCAGATCAATTTAGATTAGTAGTTCTCCAGGTACCAGCAGTACTCCAGTACATGTACAGTAGTGTATAGTGCAGCTCAGCTGCAGTGGATATTTCCGCTCTCGAATTTCCCCTACACAATCAGCTCAGCAGCTGGGTTTCAAACCACCTTGTATTTCTTACAATATATCACTCAATTTACGGACAACTGATTGTAGAAAACCAGAAAACACTATGGAACAGTAGATACACTATCGAGTCATGAGATATTCCACGTTGAAATGTTTAAAAAACATCGATAAAATTCGCATTTTCTATCCGAGATTTCTTTCTAGCTTCTCAGCAGCTCAGCAGGTCGAGATATTGTTTTGGATCTGTCAGCTACTTCTCAAGGCTGTACCAGGAAACAACAGCAACCGAGGTTGACCAATCAAAACTCGTCTCTCTGGGGGCTCGCCCTTTAAGGGCCGCCTACTTATTCAATGTAAATTTTCTGTTCAGTTGGGAGAATTTGCATCAAAACAAAACTTTAGCACATTGTACACATTAGGATCATCAGTTTAACAAAATATCTTCTGAATATCTTATAAATATGATTATTATCTTTTATTCATTCATCAATAATAATTCACAAAATGTTACATTTGTATGGTAAAAGTGAAAATAAACGTGTGTGATGATGTAATTCTTGTATGAGCTGCGAACCAGCTAGAACCAGACTGCTTGCATCATCAAAGTCACATGGGGTGACGTCAATGCGATCCGTGGAAAAATCCAAAGGGAAATCGATTGTTGGCAGGGAGCCAATCTATGCGGGGGTAGCAGAGCAAGTTGGCAAAAGGGTCGACTGAACCTGAATAATAAGGTCTCCCTGTATTTTTAAGGGGTTATGACCTGAATTTCCTGAAATGCATGTATTTCTTTAAAATTCTGTCTTTCTGTTCAAGTAATTTTAAGTTGGCATCAACCAAAGCAATAAGAACATCGCATTGGGTTCTGTTGACAATGACCACATTCATATTGAATGTTGAAATAAAAAATATAATAATTGGGTCCATTATTATATAGACCCTCTAGATGAATCATTATTATTATTATTATTTCTATTATGTTTGAAAAAGAAATGCTAATAGAAGAAAGAAAGGGAGATTGGAAGACGACATACATAATATTACTATCATCATTGATGATCACCTCCCTCGATCTCCTCGATTAAATTTTGCTCTCACGCATTAGGCATTCACACAAAGATCCGCGCCAGCCCCCCCCCCCCCCCGACAAAAGTGCCCACAGACCAATATTTGTCTGTGAGCATGGACATACTAATCTCAATGTTTTAATGAGGAAGAGTTTCTGTCCCCATTTTTTTTTTGGTAAAATGAATTTATTGATAAATATATGCTTTTGAACAAATTAAACAATCATACAATCAATTGAAATAACAACGTAGGATCCTTACATAATTCAATTAAAACATGTTTCATTTTCTTGAACAGCAGTGTTTAAAAAAAAAAATGCATAGATTTTTTGTTTTCCAATACTTTTCGATCTTTAAACTGTAATGGATTAATCTTTTGAAAATACAAAGAGAAGTAGAGACTTCATAAAACATAAATTTGCGATTTTCTGCGGGCATGAAAAAAAAATAATGTTAGATAAACTGCGTATTTTGCATACATGATCAGAAAATTTAAACTTTTGAACATTTTGTTTTTCAAGTTATAATCTGTATTTAAGATGAATTTGTAGGAAGAAACAAAAAACATTGTAAAGTTTTCGAACTATGTCTCCAAATCTTAACCGATAGAATCTTGTGTTTGCATTTTACGAACAGATGAAGATTGTCGTGTAACTCATCATCATATGAACAATAAGGGATTGTTACATAATTTCCATTTGAATAAATTATACCTAGTTGGTATTAAATTGTGTAACACCTTAACATTAAATTCTGTTGTTCTGTTTACTTTCATAGCTTGTAAATCAAATGACCACATGAATTTCAAATCAATTTGTTCTGTACTATTTAATATTTCTTCCCATTTATCTTCAATTTAATCTAACAATTGAATGAATAGACATCGTAAAGTAAAAAAAAACACTTAGATTTTCGTTTAGTGTTAACATTCATTAAAACATTTTTCATTACTGCTTCATTTTTTCCTGCATCGCATCATCTACCAGTCTAAACATGGAATTGTATTTACTATGATATAATATTCTTGAAACAAAGAAGCATGTTTTTTCTAATCTTTCTTTAATTTCTTTCAAAGACATAAATCTAGAGTCTTTTACGATATCATTAATTTTCAAAACGCCTACATCAAACCATTTTTTTGATAAATAATGCTTTTTGGTTATGATCTCTTATATTTGAGTTTAACCATATGTTTTCACTTTTAACATCAATAAACTGTAAATCAATGTTTGTATTACTTTCTACTGTCTCTTTAAAGTCAGACCAAGTAGACCATCTTCTTGTGATATTGGGGCATTTTTATATTCTCTAAACAAAACTTCATATCATCTTTTCTACATTTACTAAGTTACTGTCAATGGAGCATGGACATAAACTGATCTCTATTTTTCAAGGAGAAAGAGTTTCTGTCCCTGTTGCTTACTCGTAATGTGGCTTTGTGCCATACGAAAGGAGGGGAAGCAAGGAAGAAGAAGAAGGAGGAGGAGGAGGAGGAGGAGGAGGAGGAGGAGGAGGAGGAGTAGGAGGAGGAGGAGAAGGAGAAGAAGAAGAAGAAGAAGAAGAAGAAGAAGAAGAAGAAGAAGAAGAAGAAGAAGAAGAAGAAGAAGAAGAAGAAGAAGAAGAAGAAGAAGAAGAAGAAGAAGAAGGAAGAAGAAGAAGGAAGAAGAAGAAGAAGAAGAAGAAGAAGAAGAAGAAGAAGAAGAAGAAGAAGAAGAAGAAGAAGAAGAAGAAGAAGAAGTGTTAAAAGTATAGGAGCATTTTTATATCATCCCTCTAACATGCATCATTCATTCACTGGACTCACGTTTTTGAATAAAAAGATGATACAGGATGAAAAGAACATGACTAGCAGCATTTTCATTTATTCAGTATTTTGATGTATACAAAATACCATATAATATGCTATGAGCTAAGGGCAAGACAATTATAAAACAAATCTAAATAATATCCTAGCACTAAATCGAATTTTAGTTCTACGTTATTTAAATAATACTTTTATCTGACAGTTTTAAACATGTGAGCTGTATAAGGCTTTGGCTAGATTTTTTTTATGAGTTGATGTTCTTCTGATTGTACACAATCACAGGTATAGTATCTAAAGTACTAACGTTATATTTGCTTGTCTTTCAGGTTACTGGTTCCCAAAAATAGAGCCTGTGCATGAGGTTCATTGCAAAATCATTCAAGCAATGGGCTGGAGCAGGGCTTATTGTTTGGTGCTGGTGTGATCGCCATGCCATTGTTTAGCACAAAATTGTTTGGATCCAGCAACTCGTCAACTTGGCCAATATGACGTCACACTTCGGTACTCTGTAGTTTCTGAAGTCTAAGGCACAATACCTTTGCATATATATATATGTAAATTGAAATGGAATAAAAGTTTAGAATGTGTCTTTGTTTTCAACCATTTATAGATAAAAATATAGCACTAACCTACAATAATTTGGGTACATACATACATTTCCAATATAAAAGAGATGAAAATCATACAACTATGTTCTATAAATCAAGGAGTAGATGATTCTAATGATCTTAAAACCTAGGATTATAACATAAAAATTAGAAAATATAAACATATTTATTTGTTTTGATACCTCGTCATTAACAGCATGATACCTTATAAATAATAAACTTAAAGGAAAAGTCAGATTAACTTGGTTTTGATAAAAGATAAACAAGAGAAAAAAATTAGTGAAAGTTTGAGGAAAACCTGATTAACAATAAAAATTAAGAAAAATGTGAATTTTGGAAAATTTCATTAGTGAACCACAATTCAGAAACACTGCGAGCACCTCTAAAATTTGCTTAGTACAGAAAGTTTCATTAACTTTCATTTTCTTAGTTGCAAATGACGGAATAGATTTGTTTCATGCAGGGATTGCATAAAAACATATTGCAATAATTATTTAGGGTGAACGTATGATTGAAAATTTTCTTGAGGTTTTTCAGTCAAGGGAAAATGGGAGGGTAGCTCGCAACATACGCCACAGAGTTGCCAATTTGTGTTTGATTGATTGCACCTTCAACAATTAATTACCTTCTAACTCTTAATCGTTTTTTGCTTAAAATTTCACTGACAAGTTTCTCTCATTTTTCTGCTTCTTTTATTAAAACAAACTAAATATCAGGATGGACTTCCCCTTTAAATTCATTCAATTTGTATTTGATCCTATTTCCTATGAATTCTAGTCATTTCAGCTGCTATCACTGAAATATAATATTAAATGTTTTATTCAATAAACATTATATCAAAAGCCCCTGATTCATTTGTACATACAAAATGAAGTTTCTGGAAGTTCTAAGCGATGTAATAATAAATTTAGCCATTGTATGCATTTCTAATTCTCAAAATTACGGCAGTAAGGAATGTTTAATTACCCCAAAAATGAAAACATTAAGGAATTCATATTACAGACTACATCATATTCTATTCAGCCTAAAAAGTAGTGTAAGAACAAAAACAAAACTTGCTGGTGTACAAGTTTGTGTTTCATTTTTTTTCCTGAATGAATAAGACATTCTATGTAGGAGAATCAAATCTTTTTAAGGCTTAACCCTATGTAGCCTGGGCTATTTAAAAACTGCATAGTTTTCGGGCTAGATAGGGTTCACCCACAATACATAAACACACAAATATTGTTTTAAAACAAAATGCCACCTGCTGAATGAAACTCCTTCATAAAACTAAGATTTCACCTCATTTGGACAAAGAGGGCAGCATTGCATAAAGTCAATCAGGACACTTACAGTTATTGCAAATGTGAAGTTTCCTGTATCAAAGTGACTCAGTAACATTGTTGAAGATTGATGAAAACCTGTTTCATTTTTGTATGAAATGTCATTTATCATATTCCTTCTACTGTACTAATCCTCTAACATGCAAAGAATCCTGAAAAAATTATCAAACCACAAAGATTTTTTTGAATTTGCCCAACCGTTTTCCCATGAAAATAAGACAAGAGACAGGCTTTTAATAATCTAATAATCTTTTAAAATAATATAGAGCCAATTTATTGCTTTGCAACAATTTACATTAACCTTAAATGTAATTAAATTGTATAATATAGTTGGGAGAATTAAGGAATTGATCAGATCAGTTTTCCTAAATTTTTATCATTAATAATGGTCTGTTTTCACTCAAACTTTCAGATGATCCTAAATTGTACATCTAGCATTGAAGTCACTACCTTAGCACCATTTTCTATCATCTGAACAATGTTACACTGAAGTCCATTTAAGTAACCTCTTACATTTCCCCCATCTATCTTATAGCATATATAAATGTACATTGGAAGACCAAGGAATGATTTAGATTTTGGCACAATATGAAAGAGAAGACTCTGATGACATACAATAAACATTTTTCAAAGCAGAAAACAGTTGTAGAATTCCCAACACATGATATGAATGAAAATAATTTATTGGTTGGATTGTAGACTTACACATTTCACAATTATAACACGACGGATATCAAACTATCAAACTGTCATATCACACACAGTAAATTTCATTTCCAATATTTCTGTTATACACTTGTTATCTTGCTGAGTTGCAATACACACATATTTTTTTCTTCTTTCTATAATGTAATACCTTGACGAATCAAACAATTATTTACATATATTCATCTTTTTTAGTGAAATGACATGATCAATAATTTGATTCGGAAGTTTGTAAAAGTCTATGTATTGCATATACATAACAATTTGTTGTATCAGTTCATTCAAATTCTTGATAATTCTCAATAATTGCATTATCATTCATTGCCGAGAGAAATGATGGATTGAAGCTGCCAAACTGGTACCTTCAGTATTCCAACTGTCCAAGCATACAATTAAATATACACAGAGTATATTGTATATCACTATTAGAAAGGCAGTATCTTGAAATGATGTGTAACATCAACCCATGACTTGAAATTAAGCCATTAGTAACTACAACTGTGTGCCCCTGTTGCCACTCATTCACAAGAAGAAACTCACTAGTAACTACACATTATCTGGAAAGACTCTTTCAACAGAAATGCAATGTTTTTCATTACAGAGTCTACCGGAGCTAGAAGGGCATCGATTCTATATTAAAGCCCACTGCACTAATCATAGCTACTTGCGCCCTCTATGAAGCAAAAAATGCCTAATCGGTGACCATTGGTCCCCCATGATGCCCTTTTTCTTATTTTAATTGAGAGCTGACTTGATGAGATAACCACCTGTCAGTGACCTTGCAGGGAGGTCTAATCCCCTCTGGCCAAACTAGTACAGACGGGCTGAGAGTGTATGGGTCAACACCCTTTGGGCTACAAACAAATGATATATATCCTCAGAGATAACAAGTGACGTGTGATTATGCAGGATCAAACAATTTAATACTATAGAATGTGAATGTTAAAGGGCAGTTTTTTGGAAGTGTGGTTGCTTAAAGATCAAAACCCTCTACAGCAATTAAACTGTGCATTCCATCAGCTGCATAAAGTGGTAGAAATAATATCAAGTATGGATCTACTTCCATGATGAACTCTAAGGTAATAAACTGAGATCTTTAAACCCTCCTTGTATAAAGCAAATGATGTGTCGGTGATGAGGAAGATGGGAACAGTAATCAATATGTACGCAGCATAGTTGTTTTTACTACATTTCACATACTTATCTGTCTACTAACCCTTTGCCTAAAGGAACCTAATGGTCCATATATTACCGGTAAGCTTATGGGAATTCATAGGTTTACATATCATGAATATTCAAGACTACAAACAGTCCTTTTCAGGACTACACACATTCAAGAAAGAAATATTAAGGAGAGTCCTTTCCAGGTCTCCCCAATCCTCCCCATCTCTCACAAGCCTACTGTACATCTACATCACCATGGAAGCCGATACTTATGAGCAGCATCTAACATGAATATTGTTGTTAACAACACTTTTCTGCATCTCTTACTCTAGTTATCTTAAATCACTTCCTAAACAAGTTCTACCATTTACAACATCACAGACTGGTTTCCTGGTTGGTGACATTTCTGGATACCCTGTACCCCCAGTGACCTAGAAGGGATCAACGCCAAGGCCAGACCTAGCTGCCTCCTGCACTGGGCCGGGCTTGCTGTGAAGAAGAAGACTGTCCTTTCTACAGAATCCATCATTTGAAAACTTCATCCACAGCCTTGCATGATTCGGGGTTCCACTGTTTACCATAGGAAGGATCTTGTATCTTTATAAATACAGTCAAACCTGTCTATAGCGACCTCCCAAGGGAAACACAAAAAGTGGTCTTTGTAGATACGTGGACAGGTGGTCTTTGAAGACAGGTTCTATTGGTACATGTTTCAATGAGAATCCATTTTCAACGGAAACAACAAATGTGGTCTTTGTAGACAGGTGGTCACTAAAGCAGGTTTGAATGTATTTAGCTTCTTTTCTCTTGCCATCACCTCACTTCTTAAGCCAATTCTTGTTTCTTCTCAGATTGGAGCCTAGTTAGTGACGACGACCTACTGTTTTCCTTCATCCATTTCTAGAAGATGTCCTCCATGACCTTACATCATTTTGAATTTCTGTTCTTGACCTAAGGAAGGGTTATCTCTTTTATTCTTCGCCTCTTTACCACTGTTTGTCATCGCACTACTTAAACTAGTTCATGATCTTAACAGATTTGAGCCTAGTTGGTAACGACGACCTACTGTTCTTCTTCATCCATCTTTAGAAGATGTCCTCCATGACCTTACATCATTTAGGATTTCTATTCTTGACCTGAGGAAGGGTTATGTCTTTAATTCCTCGCCTCTTTACCACTGCTTGTCATCACACTACTTAAACCATTTCATGATTTTCACAGATTTGAGCCTAGTTGGTGACGATGACTGTCCATCCTCTGCCATCCATCTTTTGAAGATATCATCCATGGCCTTGCGTTTCTGGGGGTTTCCATTGTTGACTGTGGCTAAGATCTTGTCAGCCCTTATGAACTGAACAAAGCGCTTCATCTCAGAGTAGCTGCTGTGCTCACTGTATGGTATTCCTGAAAGAAAAACATCACAAAAATTTCAAGAATTTGAAAAAATTACAAAGATTTTCTTTCCTTGCTTAACAATGCCAAATCTGAGATGCATGGCCCTACGTGTTATCAGCGTCTGTGATATGGTGTAATATTGAAGTCCGAAAATAATTGCACTTCAAAATGATCATGAAGTGCCTCAAATAAGTAAAAATCTTTGAGTGACCAGTTTTACCATACTCATTTTCCCCAATAGACTGTAGTGATAAAAAGAAGTTGGGAAAATGGTTTTTGAAATTTTGAATTCCAATCATAAATATCTTGATAATCAGACGGGCGATCCGCTTGTAAACGTCAAGGGCTTCCTGACTGACCTAAAGATTTATAATTATGATTGCAGCATGAGCAAAATTCAGGATTTTGTTTAGAATCTGAGACAAAGATACCCAATCCCTTTGAACTATCAAGATGATAATGTGACCTCCTTCTAATTTTGTGAAAGATCAAAACAGATATTTCAATTAGGAAAAGCATTAGAATAGGTGAAAAGAGAGAAAGGATAACTTGATTCAAATCTTTTAGCAGCAAGGCTGCCAAATATTGAATGCCCTTTTATAGCTGGTACATTTTACCTGCTAAAGCAACACAAGTATGGGGTCATCACAGTTATTTGTTGCCAGAATTGCCATTTCAGGATCGATTCTGGATGAAAAAAACTGTGGAAATATATTTTTAATTTTGCGGGACTATACACACTACTATCTATTCAGCAGAGATAATGGCAGTGGTAGTGATGGTGGAAGTAGTAACAGTGGTAGTAGTAGTGGTAGAGGTGGTGGAGGTTATACTGGTGATGGTAGTAGTAGTGGTAGAGGTGGTGGAGGTTATACTGGTGATGGTAGTAGTGGTAGAGGTGGTGGAGGTTATACTGGTGATGGTAGTAGTGGTAGAGGTGGTGGAGGTTATACTGGTGATGGTAGTAGTGGTGGTAGAATTGGTGGAGGTTATACTGGTGATGGTAGTAGTGGTAGAGGTGGTGGAGGTTATACTGGTGATGGTAGTAGTGGTAGAGGTGGTGGAGATTATAGTGGCGATGGTAGCAGTAGTGGTAGAAGTGGTGGTGGTTATAGTGGCGATTGTCATGGTAGTGGCAGAAGTGATGGTGGTTATACTGGTGATGGTAGTAGTAGTGGTAGAGGTGGTGGAGGTTATACTGGTGATGGTAGTAGTGGTGGTAGAGGTGGTGGAGGTTATACTGGTGATGGTAGTAGTAGTGGTAGAAGTGGTGGTGGTTATAGTGGCGATGGTAGCAGTAGTGGTAGAAGCGATGGTGGTTATACTGGTAATGGTAGTAGTAGTGGTAGAGGTGGTGGTGGTTATAGTGGTGATGGTAGTAGTGGTAGAGGTGGTGGTGGTTATAGTGGTGATGGTAGTAGTAGTGGTGGTAGAGGTGGGGGTGGTTATAGTGGAAATGGTGGTAGTAGTGGTAGAGGTTGTGGTGGTGATGGCGCTGGTAGTGGTGGCGGTGGTGGCAGTGGTATTCTCATTATACTGTACCATAAATTTTTGATTTTCCACTCTCGGAAGGCTTGATATCTGAGGGTGATTCAACCTTATCACTGTGAGTCCAACCAGTAGGCTTGAAGGCAAGAATGTTGTCATATCTTGAACTGAACTGGGACAGGTACTCCTTCAGCTTCTGCATGAAGATTTGAGAACCATTCAACAATATTGAATAACCCTATTGTTCAATATTTCCAGAGCTCTATTCTTTTTTAAGGTCAAGTGTCACACTGAAATGAAAACTTTGGATACTAGTGAATACACAAAAATGTCATAATTGTATACATGAATATGGAGCAAAAAATTTCATATATTTTTCTTTTAGGGACACAAAACAATCTCCCTCCAGTTATCTAACATAATTAGGCCCGAGTCATGTCGAGATTTTCATAAACCGGGTCCCGACGGCCTTGCACCGATCGGGACCCGGTGTCCCGAAATCAGCTCGCAGGATTTGTCACTTGCCTGTATAAAAAGCGCATATCATCGGTATGTCCCTTAAAAGTGACCTTTTTTATCAATCAAATAAATCAACACATGCATACCTCGGCTCAGATCGGTATATTATTCCATTTGACATTATTTTCATCCATGATTGGCGATGTTTAGTGCCATTATCGTGCCTCTAAAAGTAAAAAAGCTGGGGCAAAAATAGAAAACAACATTCGAGGCGCCATTTCGATTCATGCAGGTTGAATAAATTGGGTTAAAATATATGAATGTTAGAATAATAAAACGGCTTTCTAAAACATTCTTCTTTACAATATACTGATCAAATAATTTTTTAAGACAAAATAAACATTTATCTCTTATTTTAAACATCGCATGTTTTTTTTTAAAGCTGAAAATTACTTAGTAATGACAAGAAGTTTCGATACAGATAGCTGTTGCAAGGCAAGTTCAGACTAGTCTCGGAAAAATGCGCAGTGCACATCGTTAGCTGTAATCCGTGCCCAAACGAACCCAAACAAAGACGTGATCGTAATGAGAAAAAAATCATTAAAAACTACGAGAGCACAATTGGAAAGACAACTACTCAAAATTATCGTAAGCAGATACATAATTTGGAGGAAGAATACAATAGTTGTCCAAGAAAAGCCACCGTGACAGAAATAGTGATAATCGAGGAGTAACTGGGTACATTTTTATCGCAAGTGGCCTTCCTGCTGCAAATACTCGAATCCTTTGTTATACTGCTTTCTACCGTAGAGGGCGGCTAGCCTCGTGTTCAATTTAAACACGTATAATTCAGAAATCGCAGCAGGGCCATTCCGATAATGATTGTACCTTTAGTAACTCCTTAAATATCACTATTTCTGTGGCTTTTCTTGGACAACTATTGTATTCTTCCTCCAAATTATGTATCTGCTTACGATAATTTTGAGTAGCTGTCTTTCCAATTGTGCTCTCGTAGTTTTTAATGATTTTTTCTCGTTACGATCACGTCTTTGTTTGGGTTCGTTTGGGCATGCATTACAGCTAACGAAGTGCACTGCACATTTTTCCGAGACTAGTCTGAACTTGCCTTGCAACAGCTATCCGTATCGAAACTTCTTGTGATTACCAAGTAATTTTCAGCTTTTAAAAGAAGCATGCGGTGTTCAAAATCAAAGAAAAAATATCTATTTTGTCTTGTTAAAATTATTCGATCGGTATGTTGTAAAGAAGTACTTTTTAGAAAGCCATTTTATTATTCAAACATTAATGTTTCTTTCAACCTGATTTATTAATCCTGTCGAGAGACCCGGCCAGTACAGTAGCTAGCTAGCAGCTGGCAACAACAACCCCATGGGGCGAACTGCTCTGCAACCCATATTTATATCAGCAGTTTGGATTTATTCAGGATGAGCTAGAATATGATTGGTAACAATTAAATACTTAAGTTTTAAGGTGGATTGATTTAAGTGGTGTGCAAAACTGCAATTTCTTACATATTTCATTTTTTTTTTTCGGAGCGTCGGTTCTCAAAAAACGAAACCGGGACCCGACGGCAACGGTCGGGTCCCGGTGTGACCAACCGTACCGACTCAAGCCTAAACATAATGGAATGAAGAGTATCTTGCAAGTCCCCTTTTTGGTTAAAAAAACAAACCATCTTTGACTGACATCGGTATAACCACAAACACACTGACCTGATGATTAAGCATATTCATGGCTATGACGTGAAGTCTACATGTAGCTGCCTTGTTATCACGGGTTAGGAGTGACATCAGATCATCATCTTCAAGGCATTCCAAGACTTTCAACTTCCGAGAATCCACATATACCTTGCATTCCAGTGCTTCAGCAATAGCTGTAAAAAAGGAGAGAAACCAAGGACTGAAATACAGAAATAACATTTTGACTGTTGTGTATTAAAAATCAATGCTACATACACTTATTCATGCTTCCTTAAAGGTAAAGACCAGTTTTGGAAACGCCACCCTCTCAAAAAATGAAATGGAAGCTTTTATTACCAATCATGTGAAAGAATATGTTTCGACTATTAAATATGTGATTATACAAATTTTGACGAGAAGCCGCCTACTAATTGATATATTTGGACCTGATAGATATAACAAAGTCGCGCACGTGTGGGGCTAGTCCCATATACATCTTTCTGTGTACAGTGCTTGTAACTTTATCAAGACTGGACCAAATTTCTTATCATTTTTGATGATTCCAGAACCTTGCAGTACACACAATACTTATATGCTAGATGATCAACCTTTTCTGATCGAGTCCACAATGTTTCTTTCACAATGCAATCGCATGACCATAACTGGTCTTTATCTTTAACATCCAAATGCAGAAAGCATTTCAATCTGAAAGAAGCCCCAAAAGTATTAAGTACTAAAAGAAATCACAAAGGCAAACACATCAAATGGTTATCCTTGACAAGGGATAAAACATGAGATATAACAAATGCATTATGGATTATCCTCAAGAACATCACACCTACCAACCTTGCAGAGCAAATATTAGGAATCCCTCAAGGCAAAATAAGGATAAAGTCATTTACTATACTTTTCACACAGAATAAGAAAGGAATCTAGGGTTCATAACATTGGTGTAAGGGCCAAAAAGTAGGAATATTTCCTCCAAAATGAGAATGGTTGGCAGCTGTGGAATATTGCATTGAGTAAAAGTGTGTGTCTACTTATCATCAGAGATACAATTTGCATGATGCATGAATTACTTTTCAAACGATTTTGATGATTTTGTATTTTGATGCAGATAACACTAGCAAGACACTAGCATTGTTGCATAATGTAATACAACCCTTGTTATAAGATCAGGCTAAACACATTTTCACCTCTTCAGATAATCATTTAAAGAGCATTTTCAAGGGACTTTCTTTATTTTTCTCACAGTAACTGACAAATGATGTTGAAATTACAAATTCTGAGATAAAAAAACTGTGTCACAATGGATCTTTTGGTGTGGCACAAATTGATTTTTTTTGCTTTTTTCCATTCCATAAATATATTTTCTCTTATTCCTACCTCTGAAGACCTTCTCTTTGCCAATGGTGTAGGTTGCACACACGATGAGGGTCTTCTTGTTTGATTTCACAGCCTGGACAGCTGTCTTTACTGCAAACTCTATCACTTCAGTCTGAGATGGAAATTTGTACTGAGGATCACAGTACCTACAAATGATACATAAAATTAATGTTACATACTGTCCATCAAAATAGAATTGTAAGGGAAGTTCTTACAAATTTACTCTTAATTGTACTTAAATATCTACTGTCTATTTATGTCTGTTTTTTCACTGGTATAAGTTTACAAGTCAATTTACAGAAAGAAATAATCATAATTATAGACAGTTAAAGTAATGGTTGACAGTCATAATGCAAACAACAAAAAAAGAGTCAAAATAGCTCAAAGTGAGTAGGTTACAAGAAATAAATTATATACAAGGATGACAGACAGAGTGAAAGAGTAGAAAATAAGGTACGCAGGAGAGGTGGATAGAGCAGAGAAGAAAAGATAGAAAGAGAGTGAGCCAAGAGTCACGTTCAATGTATTTTAGCTGTGTATACTGACACAATGAGGATAAGTTAATCTTTCAAATTCAATCAATAGATAAAGTTAACAAATTATTACTGCTACGGTATAAAATGGGATTACCAATCAGTAAATGTACAGCATACACTACAAATCTGCATAAAAAGCACAAATACACTGAACAGCAACAACAAAACAACAACATTCATATGCACGTAACAGATCAGATACTACGCTCAAAGTTGTATATATCTCATCAGCCAGAATACTAATCAAATTGATAGAAAGCAACCTCAGGAGTGATCCATCTTTTTCCAACTTCACAAGAAATAGTTCTTACCAACAGAATGGTATGCAGGTGTTGAAGCATATCCAAGACAAACTAAAAAAACAAATTTTCCAAAGTTAAAGATAAAGTTGAGTTCTGGTCATGCAATGGCATGGTGAAAGAAACGGTGTGAAATCGATCAGAAAAGGTTGATACTCTAGCATATAGGTACTGGTGTGTACTGCAAGGTTCTGGAATCATCAAAATTATAAGAGATTTGGCCCAGTCTTGGTAAAGTTACAAGCACTGTACACAGAAAGATGTATATGGGGCTACACAAACATGTGGCATATTTATGACTATGAAAGCATTCGAAGAGCCATGTTTTTGAGGATACAATTTTTATCTGATGTTCTTCCACACTTGCATAATAACAATGATAACGCTCACAAATTAGTTGTCACCTCTTCCCCGAACTCAACCTTCTCTAATAAGCATCTCACTTCTGTCTTCATGATCTTCGCATATCTTCGCCTTCAAACCATACCCTGACTTACGTAGTATCCAGATAGAGTTGGTTGACATGGCAACTGCTCAGTTGGGGATATAGCTCCATCTCAGCATCGGCCCTGAAGTCACCGGTATGTAGATAGATGACACCTGATTTCAGCTTGTATAGGAACATCACAGCACCTGGGCAGCTGAAAAATGCAGTACAGACAAACCAGAGAAAAATTTATAATGTGCAGAGTGAAAATTCATAAGAGTTCTTGAACTAAATTATAGGCTCACTAATATATACATTACACATACACAGGCAAACATTTCAAAAACATTAGAAAATAAGAGAAGGGGACAATGAGAAAGAATGATATATATATATATAGAGAGAGAGAGAGAGAGATAGAGAGAGGGAGGGAGGGAGAGAGAGAGAGAGAGAGAGAGAGAGAGAAAGAGAGAGAGAGAGAGAGAAAGAGAGAGAGCGAGAAAGAGAGAGAGAGAGAGAGAGAGAGAGAGAGAGAGAGAAGGAACATGGGGTGGGGAAGGGGGAGGATAAGGAAATAGATGTCAACAAGAGGAGACAACCCAAGAAAGAACATATAGAGAGGGAGAGAGAGCGAGAGAGAGGAAGAGAGAGCAACATACAGAGAGAAAGTGAGTGACAAGAGGAGGGGAGTAGAGGAAGGCAGCTCTGGTCATAATTTCAAGTGCTTAAATTTCCTGCAATCTGTATACTAGACATGGATCAAGAAATTAAACTAGAGATTAAATGCTTAGTCTAGGGGTCATAATCAACAGGCCAGGATTCAAACCTCAAGCTCTCTGAATGAGCATTAAACCAGATGACCCATGTCAGGTGTAATATGTAACAGAGAGTTTGAACTGTTAGACTATGTCACTCCATTGGCTCTGACTATAGCTCACAGAGACTGAAATATTATTCTTGTCACAAGGCTTTATGAATTGTCTCAAAGTCTGTGCCTGCGGACTATTTTCCCAGAGTGATCATAATTCATAGTTGTTTTTTTAATTTTTTTATAAATCATATAGTCCACTTACTGGTTTGCTTCAAGTAGTGTAACCTCCACGCCATCTACTTTGCAAGGTGTGTTCATGGGTAAAATCTTCACATATTCAGCGGCTACCTTGATTCTGGTTATCACAAGATTTCCTGTAACCTGATGCAAGAAAAGAACAGATTGGTACATTAGCCCATTAACTACTGAATTCATTTAGTGCTATAGGCTTAATACAAAAACCCTCTAGTTACAGTAGTCAATGGGTTCAGGGGATATTGGGAGAAAGAGGGTAGGAAGAGTGAGAAAATCAGATGTAAAGAGTGATAGAGAGGGCGGGGAGGAGGAGATCTAGTAATGTAGATAGACATCAACATTAAAAAGTGGATGAGAGTATCAAGAGAGGAATATAAAGACTCTCAAACTCTCTAAATCAAATAACATTTATCTCTGCACAAATGAAATAATGTTGATTACTTATTGATGGAATCTGCTTTCAAATAATTGTTCAAGAAATAAATTCCCTTAAAGCCCATTTGCACTAGTTTGGCCAGGAGGGATTAGACCACCCTGCGAGGTCACTGACGGGTGGTTATCTCATCAAATCAGCTCTCAATTAACATAAGAAAAAGAGGATCATGGGGGACCAACAGGCACCGATTTGGGAAGTTTTCTATATAGAGGGAGCAAGTAGCTACAAGTAGTAGAGTGGGGCTTTAAAGTTTGAGAAATGATCTGCAATCACTCTCAAGATGTATTCCATAGTTACCTTGCTACAGTAGAGCTGTTGGTCAAAGTGCTTAGTGAGACCCCCATAGTGGTCATAGTGGAAGTGACTCAAGAAGTAAGCTTTGCATCCTGGGATAACACCATACCTGAAGGCATCCACTGTGAAAGATGTATCTGATAACGAGGCAAATGTTGGGAAGAAAGAAGGGCAATATACATGTCTTTATTGTATTTATTGATTTATACTAACAGCAGAGCTTTATAAATGCAGAAACTTGTCTTCTTGTGGCAATTCACAGACAAAACTGATGGGTTAATAACTTAATATCTTTTGTTATTAAATTAATTATCATACCTTTTTTGCTTGTATTGTTTGTTATTATTATACTCCTTTTTGTTCCTGAAAATTAAATAAAATAATCTATGCATTTTTTTTCTTCTCCAAACTAAACTACCCCAAATTTATGCAGGATTCTGGTTTAATAATTAGCTTCCCTGCTTAAATCAATCATGCAATTCATGGATTCTATGGACTAGCAAAATGTAATGGAAAACACAGTAACATAAAATTGCTGACAATTATTTCTAAGAACTTTCATTGTACTGGGAGCAATATTGTTTACCTGGCATCTTTTTGTAGAAGGGACATTCCTTGCGACTGCTGTTCCCCCATTCCTTCTTCTCGTCGCCTTCTCCTTTGTTCCTCTTGTATGTCTGCTTGGATCCTCTCCACTGTCCCTTCTCCTGGATTTTCTGAGATGGTAGCTCTACTTTTGGTGCAGGTTTACACCCCAAAAAGAAGTCTAATGTTCTCTGTTTCGACGATGGCTCTACTTTTGGCAAAGGTTTGCACCCAAAAAAGGAGTCCAGTGTTCCCTGTTTCTTAAGCTTTGGAGTGACTGCTGGAGTCGATGTGGAGGTGTCATGCACGTTAGATTGTCTTGAGCATTCTTCATCTTTTGCTGACATTGCACTTCTTGCATCACTTGTCCCCCATCCAGACGTTGATGGTCTCTCTTCCTTATTCGGGAGTTCTTCCTCCTCATCATCCACTTCCATGTCTTCCTCTCCATCTTCTGAACACTCTGCCGCATCATCTGATTTGCCTGGAAGATTGCTGACACCAGGAATGTTGAACAAACTCTGGCTGGGTTCGTCTTCTGAAAATACCACAGCTTGATGCATTTTTCCTTCATGGTCGTCTAAAGTAGGGACAATTTCTTTGTTCTTATCAAGATTGCTGACGGTAAGAAATTGTCCTTCTTTGTTCTCACCAGGAATGTTGAACAAACTCTGGCTGTCTTCATCTTCTGAAAACACCACAGCTTGATCCATTTCCCCTTCACGGTGGTCCAAAGAAGGTACAGGAGGGTTAATGAGACTCTTGCTCTCTTCCTTCTGGCTTCCATCTTCCAGGGTGTCTTGACCTTTAACCTCACCATCTATTTTTGACCCCTGACCTCCAATATCAGAAGATTCATCCCCATTGGCATCAGCAAAAAAGAAATCCTCTAAGGTCGTATCATCATCATCATCATCATCTTGAATTGGAGCTGGAGGAACCTCAATGAAGTTTGGAGGATTAGACTTCTTGGGCCGATTTCTTGACGTTGCGTCGTCATCCTCCTCAAAGTTGGAATTCTGTGAAGAGAAAAGCAACTCACTTCCTTCACTGGCTGCATCATCCTGGATACAAAAGAAATGTTCATCTGTTAGCTTATCAACATCATTTGCCACACTCTGTGGATCCTTGGGTACCCTCTTCATATCTTGTTTTGGTTTAAGTTTAACAAATTCATCCTTACAATCTGCCTTTGACCCAGCATCATCAGCAGTCAATACTTTTGTCTTCTTAAAATTGTTCTGGTCTCTACACTCTGGCTCACTTTGATCACTTGCAAATATATCCATATCACTTTTGACCAGTTCGCTTTCACCACTTGCAAAAATATCCATATCACTTTCGACAAATGGTTGAGAGTCTTCAGAAACAGAGGACCATGAGGGTGGGTCAAAAGTCACATTTGTTTCCAAATTGGAAAGGGGAGAGTGCGAAGCTCTATTAAATACGGCACCAAGTGTTTTCTGCTCAAGACCAAGGGTACTTAAGGTCAAGTTGGTTAGGGTGGACTGATCAGGGTCTTTCTTCAATGTATTGTCTTTACTTACACTTTTCTGGTTCTCTGTACTATAAGATGTATCACTTTCTCCTAGATTTTCACGCTTTGGTGTAGGCAACTCTTCTTTATTTGCTAGTATCCTATCCAAGGTTCTTTGATTTCTGTTGATTACTCCTTTTGCAGATTTCCTGGCAGTGTTTTTTAATTTGGACTTAGGTTGTGAGGGAGCAATTTGAGAAGAGCATTGTTCCCTAGGGGTTAATATGACCCTTTCACCTTTAATTTTGCATTCATAGTCCCCCTTTGGAGTACTGTGGTACATGGATGGTGCTGCTGCTGGCTTTGAAGAGGAAGGTATTTCAAAATCACTGTCTGACGTCATGACCTCTGGTTCTGCTTTCAAAGAAGTGAACCTATCATCCATCATTGATGAATCGTCAGGTTTCATCTCTGATCTGACTAGAGCTAGCAGATCGTGGTTGAACTTCTCATAGTGGCTCAAGATTGTGATGTTGCAAAACTGACCTTCTGGACATTCTGTAATGTCAACAGAAATTAAAGGGTATTGAAAATGTTTGAAGAAAAATTGATTGGAGCTCTAGAATGCATGCAATAATTATCATTTTTGAGAGGTTACTTTAGTCTTTAGAATCAAATAATTAATTTAAGTATCGAGAATTAGACACTAGAGAGATGTATAATAGTTAGAAAGTGCAATAAAATAAAGTACGAGTATTTGATGTTTGAGCAGTTTTTAGTAAAGATTATTTTGAAACAAATGAAAAATCTGAAAAATTAAAGCATATATGGATTATGGAGATATCTTATACATAATAACAATCATGCAACTTTGTAAAATAAAATGTCACCTCAGACAGTTTAAAAAAATATTTATTCTAAAGAAGGGAAAAATATGTTGTCAAAAAAAAGTAGTAATATGGGAAAAATGAAATAACATAACATTGGAAGCACTATAGTGTACTTATTGCACCAACACCAGTATTCTCATTCCCACTCCATAGACGCTACACATAAATTGTGGGTGACGCCATGACGGAATGAATCATGCCCAGTGTGAAAGTGCAGTGCAGTATTGCCATTGAAATTAATAGTTTATTATTTAAACACATTAAATATTATTAACAAATTTAAACAGATGTTACAGATCTATAAAATATACTGATAAATATGTTAAGACTTATTATTCATGATTACTGGACAAACTTATAAATCTTTTAGAGAATAATTACCATTGTCTGGTTTTGGAAGTTCAAGGCAGTCTTGTATATGCTGTCCTGGAGAAGTTAAATGAATTGAGCAAAACGGTGCTTGACAAATTGGACAATATCCTTGTAGTTGTAATTCGTCTCCAGTTTCACATTTATTATCATGATTATTCTCAGTGTTTGTCATTTCTTTCTTCATTTTGTGCTGCTTTTTCCCTGATTTATTAGCAGGAGTACGACTCGGCTGGCTTGCACAAACACTCTTGCTCGGTTTTTGTGAAGAATCAAATATTATTCGACGACTGAGATGATTTTTAGTTGGTCTAGAGCTGGGTGTCATGCTACATTGGGACTGGGGAATCCCCGACATGTCCCGCGGCCGCGGAGTAGACTGACTGGACGAGGTACCGTTTTGCTGAGATGACGAAAATTGGTCCTCAGATTTTCTGACCCTCTTCAGAGGCCTGTGCGTCCATACTTCGTCATCATCTTCACTCTTTGCTGATGAATTTTTGGATGCCATTCTGAACAAGTCAAATAGAATGTGATTTAACTAAAAACGTTTAACTCTAGCCGGACTCTAGCCTGTTATTAGCATCATTGTGCACGCAGCTCAGCTAGGTCTTCTCATGTTGAAATTTGTACGGTCAGAAGTGAAACCTCGTTCAGATGTGATATCAGTCAATCTTTTGCAAAATACTATTTAAATAATTCATACCATTTGAATGAAATATATTGTAGTCTAAATATATTTTTAAAGTAATTTAAATAACAAAATAGTGATATTATTAATTAAGAAACACATAAACTGATATTTAACAGTTGCACGTTGTGAACGAGGAGCCCGAGAGGATGGTCGGAGATACAGCTAGCTAGCTAGGAGTGTGTTGCAGAAACAGTACAGCGAAGTGCATGCATAAGCACATAAGCACATACATAATATGTATACAGTTTGTTGTTGTTGCTCCAACTGGTTTACAGATGCGAGCTCAGCTCAGTGACTGAGTCACTATTTAGACTTAGAGTTCGACAAGCTCAAACTGAGTCCAAATATCAGGTGAATATGTCGGAATCTGTCCAACGAATGGACGAACTCATCAGAGATTATCTACTTTACCGAGGTCTGACTAATTCACTGAAGAGTTTTGATGCGGAATTGAAGAATGACAAAGACAAGGGATTTCGGGTAAGTTTTTATTAATATTAATATTAATTTAAAGGGAAATCCAGGCTTAATTGCCTCACAACTTGAATTATCCTAAACTGCTATTAAAGGTAAAGACCAGTATTGAAAACGCCCCAATTTCAAAAAATGAAATGGAAGCTCATTATTACCAATCATGTGAAAGAATATGTTTTGACTAATACATGATGATACAAATTTTGCCGGGAAACCGCCTACTAATTGATATATTTGGTAAATTAGTTTATCTACATGGTTTGTGACAGATAAAAGTCTACTAAGACTAGATCTAGTAAGAGAAAACAGAAACATCATCGAAGCAGACTGATGAAAGTCTGAATCAGACAAAAAGTAACATAATTGTTTAACTTTCCTGTAAGTTGTAAATCATTAATTAATTGGTTATGTGATGGATAGCTTCAAACTGGCTGAATCGGTAATGTCACTGTGACGAAGTGCCAACATAGTAGCAGGCAACAGGCAACACAAAATGATTAAAATGTCAATTTTTAAAACGCATAATTTGACAGGGTCTATTCTTCTTAATTTGCAAATGGCAGTTTTTCTTAGAGAGTTCCCCATATACGTGGCAGTTATATCTGTTTAGAGGAATTCTCAACATTTCAATCAATTCCTTTATGTATTGAATTGTTCCCGGAGACCACTCCATCTGTTGTTCTTTTATCTGACAAAATATGTGGAGTGAATAGTGGTTTTTCTATATTCATGATAATTGCCCAACTTTTTTGTTACTTATTTTATTGATCTGCAGCAAGGTGAAAGATGATTTCATGTGATAATTAGTCTTATAGTCAGAGTCAGTTCTCTTATTTTGAGAAGTGTGACGTTACACCTATTTTTTCCTCCCCAAAAGAAATTCTCTTCTAGAGGAATTACAAATGATCACATGAAGAGCTCTTGACCAATCCTTGACCAATAGATTTACCTTGAAGGGTATAATATGAGATGAAGTTCTTATTCAGTAAATTTCAAGAAGAGTAGTTATGTCCATTTTGTTTTGCTTTCCCATCGGATAAAATTCTGTTTTATGATCTGAAGAGGGATGCATTGTCATGCACATGTATCTTCTCTTCGTTTTCTTTTCATTTTCTTTTCTTTTCTTTAATTTTTGGGCGAGTACAGGCAGACAAGATCCTGGAGCAGCTTTTAGGGTTTATCTCAACCTTTGACCTCCTTGGTCTGAAGAACTACTGGGAGCACTTAGAAAGGAGGATCTTTTCTCATCTTGAGTACACCCATGCTCACAATGTCAACAAATTACGTATCAGTGTTCTTAGGTAAGGTATCATCTCTATAATTCTCTGTATCTTAGATACATGTATGAAGTTTGAATAATTTTTAACTTTAACAAGAGACAACCAATGGTTTAAACTTTGAAGATTTACTATGTAGATTCATTCAATTTCATGCAGTTTAAGTAATAATTAGAATTCTTGATAAAGGATAATACCATTGTTTGCATTGATGTGCAGTTATTTGTGTTATGTTTATACGTTGTAGCTACAATTCTTATTATTTTCTGTTTGTACACTGTGCAAAGAAAATCAAAATTACTTAATGGAACCATCAACAAGATGAAAACAAGTCTAAAAAGATCATTTTGTAGCACAAAAAAGAAGAACTTGAAATGGCCTACTGTATGGATCTTAAAGCTTATCTGCCGTAGTTTATAGGAGGGATTAGACTGCCCTGCAAGGTCACTGGACAGGTGGTTATCTCATCAACTCAGCTCTCAGTTAACATAAGAAAAAGAGGATCATGGGGGACCAATGGTCACCGATTAGTCATTGTTTGTTATATAGAGGGCGCAGGTAGCTACAAGTAGTGCAGTGGGCCTTTAATAGAAAACTGTATAATCATCATTTTTCATGCTCCAGGCTATATGTGGTGAATGCAATCCAGTCAAACAGAACAGACAGAGTGACTGAGTTCTTTGAGAAGTTGATTCCAGAGATACAGAGCCAAGTTGAGTGGAAAGAATGGTTTGGTAAGTTTAGAAAAAAAAAAATTCTTGAAAAGTTTGAAATATGATTTGAAGAAATCGTTGTGGGTGTGGATAATTCATCAGTGTGACAGTTTTGCTTCAGTGCATCCTGTTGTTATTAATCTAGACTCTTGAGCTCTGTAAATGATGCTTGAAAATTTACCTATTTTAGCAAATGCAAAAAAAGTCTTTATTGGAGAAGCCTGCATCTTTAAATGTTTTTAACAGAAACATGGCACTCTATAAGTGTTGTAAATCATCTTCATCACTTTTTTTCTGAGCAACTTAAAATTGGATTTCAGGAAAGTTGAAAAAACTATTAAAATGCAACCTGATCATGAAGTTGATATCAAAGTGGTTGGTTTGTTAATAGTGTTCTTGAGT